TAATAAATAAATAAATAAATAATAATAAAAATCTTGACGAAATCAAAAGGTGATACGTAGACTTCGTTACGTATCACCTAATTATTGATATCTGGATTCTTGATCTTATCTATTAAAATAACAATCTTAAACTAAAAAAACAATTATTGATTTCAAGAACTTATTTCTTGATAGCTAAAATTCATGCTCTGCCTCAGGACACCTTTTTCAAGCAGGTGCGAATAGCTCTGAACTGGACTACAAGGCCTTCAAACAAGGCAAAAATTTAAAAATCTATCAAATAGCATGAAAAGAGGCCTCTTGTACGTGGTTCGCTAATGATTTTAGATACAATTAGGTGCTTCAGTTTAATGGATACGTGGCAGTGGCATCTAACCCCCATCTTGACACCGTCGAGAAGTGGTTTCATACTGCGATAGTTGAAGCTTTAGGCATAATAATGATTGGAATTTATTGAAGCCTCGTGCTATTACTATTATATTTATCTTTTCATTGTAAATCTTTTGTAGTTATGTCACTATTTTGTATAATGTTTTGCATGAGAAATAAAATATTTTTGAATTTGAATTAAATTTAAAGCAACATTTTTCAAGTGTAGGAATATAAATAGAGGTTCATTACAATAGATAAATTCATACTTTTGTATTATTCTCAATTGTTAATAGAAGCTGTAAGCTTTTGAAACTATGTCTAACACACTTTGTCTAAAAATTTCTAACCAATCAATGATTTTATTTCAACTGATAAAAAAGAATGAATTGAGAAATCTTTCCCCACCATAAATAACTGAAAATAGGTCTACCCAACCCTTCAGTTTGAGTAACTTTTGTTAGGTTTAAGCCAAACAATAAGACTCCTTGAATTTGTTTTTTTAGATTCAAGTTCCCACGAGCAGGATATTTGCCTTGCCAAAGGCACTCATGTCTTGAAACTGAAAAACCCTTCATATTTTTGAAGTGGTGACGTCACGCCATGAAAGCTACAGGTTGTGCCGCTTAAAACCTGCTGATAAAATCCGAGATTAACCATCTTCCTAACCTGGCAGAGGTGCAGCGCAGAAACCAGCAACCCAAATCACAGAACAAAGCTCACGCCCTGTTCCTAGGAACGACACTATGGCGTCGAACGGTGAGTTTGTTAGTCGTACTGAATTCCTTGAATCTATTAACAAAATTAACGAGAAACTCGATATTGTTAATTTGAATGTAACATCAATGAGGAGTGAGAAAGCAGAAATCCGTAAGTCGCTAGCCGATGTGGAAACTGCGGTCATGGAAACAGCATCAAGGCTGACAACCATAGAAAATGTTACTTTGCCTAAAATGGAGGAGAAGAGGAAATAATCTGAAAGTGAGTTGAGAGAGATTTGATTCGATTCGGTTTATTGCAATAAAAGAACATGCAGCTGGGAAGCTGACAAAGTTCAATTTACAAAGTCAATATACAACACAGCGCCCATGCAATGACGCAACCATACATGCGCACCTGAAAACTTTGATGACACTGCCTGCGCTGTGCGCTCACATCATATTTGCATAGGCGCTATCTTACTTTACGCGTAAACCACGGACTTCTAGAGGTCAATGGTTTGTTTACCCGTAAATTAAAATGGCGCCCATAACCGTAAACTGATTTCATTGACTATAATTTCATCTGTTGAGATGGCGCTCTTTAATTTCCATGTTTCGAAACGTGCAGTCTGAGTCTGAACGAAAGGTCAAACTAAAAAACAAACATGTTAAGCGTCCTGCCTCTTTGAAAAATAGGAAGGAGGAGGAGGCCTTTTTTTTCCTTCAAAATGGCCGCTCGGTACATTTTCCCAGACAGTCGGGCTATTTTTCAAAATGGCTGCCAGCTTTTTTTCTTTTTTTTTAATCCGAAATAGATCATTTTAGCAGTGCTTTTCCGAAAAAAGAAAAAGAAAAAAAAACGAAAATAAAATTCTTAAAATTTTGTTTTAAAGGAGGCGGCCCCTAAAAAGGAAGCGGCTGGGATGCTTAACATGTTTATTATTTTTAATGGCCTAATAATGATCGAGAATTCTGAAATGTCTCTTTCATTCAATAGGGGGCGGGGGCGGGGGGGGGGTTGAAATTTGAAAATTGTGCCTATCGTTTTTTTCCACTCAGTCGGGGGGGGGGGGGAGGGAGGCAGTGGCGGATCCAGAAAAAAAAAATGTGTAAAACACGTGATTTTTACCTTTTTTGGGAGATGCCCCGTCCCCCCTGGCGCTCAAGGGGGGCGGAGTGCAAATTTTTAATTTTTCGAGGGCCTAAAAAATATGCTCACTACTAGGGGTGGGGTCCCATCTTCTTAAAACTCTTTTTGCAAGGGATGGGGGCCCATCTTTTTTGTAAACTGTTTCTGTTGCAAGGGGAAGGGGGTTGTGTCTGTCGCATCCCCCCTCCCCCCTCCCCGTGGATCCGCGCCTGGGTACAACCGCTCTCGCCCCTTCTTACAACCATATTAGTATACGGTACCTCAAGAAAACAAAAATGCGTCGCCATTAAGATGACCCTCCTATACGTATATAGACCAAATAGGAATATACGCCTTCCCTGATACAGCCTGAATGGTATTCACAATTTTGCATACCTCTGTTATTCTCCTCCATAAACATGTTTTCATCCTTTCTTTTTCCCCACTCGTTAGAGTCTATCATTCGCATTCTATCATCGCTTTCAGTGTCCCTCTTCATGATAACTTAATTGTTACTTTTTTTAGTTAGTAATTCCCATACTCATCAAATAATTCTCATCCTCAAATAGCAGTGTCACAATAAATAGTTATCAACCAAATTATTTTCTATTACCCCACAGTTTTTCGTGCACCAACAATGCGCCTCAAATTGTCCTCATCATCCCACCTATCACATCATCTTATTCCAACATCTATTTTTCTCCTGCGTCCCCCTCTTTCTCTTTTTCTCTCTCTCCACTCTCTCTCTCTCTCTCTCACTCTCTGTTTCTTTCGTTCTCTCGCTCTCTCTCTCTCTCGATCTCACACACACAAGTTGTTTGCGACATTTGTTTCTCTCTCCTTCCCCTCCCTCCCTCCCTCTCCCTCCTAACGTATTTCTCTCCCTTCTCTCTCTCTCTCTCCATTCTCTTCCAACCATAGACACATCTTCCATTACAAATCCTAATCTTTTCTCTCTCCGTCCGAGGAAAACTCTTGTCCAACATTGAGTTGAAAGCAACAACAAAATAAAAGGAATAGATTAAGAGGTTTGTGGAAATCTGACGACTAATGAGAACACTTTATTTTATAGCTCGTGATCTGATGGAGATGGATAGTTGTCGAGAGAGAGAGAGAGAGAGAGAGAGGGAGAGAGGGAGAGAGAGAGAAAGAGAGCATCAGAGATGCTTGTTTATTTTAAAGATTTTAATCGAAGCAACAGATTTCCTGGCAATAATACGAATTAGTCGTATGCACTTTCTTCCTCTTTCCTATATATTATAAATAAATATGAAGACACTCAAATTTGATCAGTAAGGTGTTAGGAAAGGGGATCAATATCAATGATGAACATCACTTTACTCATTTGAATACAATATGTCTATATGGGTTCATGTAACCATGCAGTTGCGAAGCATGGATCCTTAAGTTACGGGGGCACTTGCATGGGGGGGGGGCTCAGTGGATGAAATGTGAATTAACAAGGCTCCTGATTAGAGAGAGAATCGAAGAGGGTCGTCGGGATTATCTTCATACCATGCATGTTTCCATTCCCAATCTCCCCTGCGCAATTCTGGAAGAATGTTCTTTGGGAGGGGGGGTCTGGTCGGATGGGATTGCATTCATGTTCTACAAATTGACTATAATTACTATATCCTTGATAAATATTGTTCATCAACAGAATATCGTAGTGACGCTACACGAGTGTACTATGCAAGAATCCGAATCTGAATTTGAACACACACACATTTACAAATATACATATTTCTATTGGTCTTTATATTGATATACTATCAAATTGAATTGTTCCCCTTTTCTTCTTGAAAAAAAAGGCTGTAAAAAATATTACGAGTAATTTAATTTATTTTTATCTCTGTATTATATTCCAGAAGGGACATGCAGTCGTACACATATTGCTCCGGTTCTTCTCTCATTTTCGCCAGCACAAACGTAGGCTAGTTCGCGTATAAAGCAGACGGCAATCGGCGGATCAGACGACACTTGATATAAAATATATACTTCACATAAATATAAAATACAAGAATCTTTTCCATATCTTTAAACTATCATTGATATCTGATAATTAAACAGTTAGTAAAATAAACCTACCAAACTACATAATACAAAGAAATACTTGACTGAAAGTAGGGGAGTTTGATGTGGTGCACAATTGCACCCATCTGTTAATAATCGAATAGTCCATGGTGTTCATGAATATTCATGTTTTTGCTTACCTCAGCAGAATGCTTGCCTATTCTGAATGGAACAATTACGGTGGGGATGGATGAAATGGACATAATGAACAAATCAGAACTGATCTATGATAATTCATGCTTCTTATCCTTCGTGTGCTTGACTTATAACCTTACAATCGCGTGATAAATTGAGTCCAAAATTTGACTTGCTGTACATCTGTTATATAGGCAATGGCGAGCTTGCTACCTATTTTGATCAAGTTACGGTGGGTGAAATTTCAAAAGTCAATGAGACATGATGGTTCCAATGAAAGAGCTAGTGATAACGTACGTCGGGGTGGATGAGCTTTTTGTTTTAACAAAAAATGAATTTTTAACGATTATTTGTGTAAAAGTCCATAGGCTAACGTATATGTTAGGCTGCTGGAATCTGCCGATAGGGGGCGTTCTCAAATGAGACTAAACGGAGCTATATGTTCATTTTAGCCATTTCTGGTTTTTGTAATTTTGACTTTTTTCACTCAATAATGATCTATCTTTCACTATAATTTTGAATACTGGTATCCATTGTTATTAAAATCAAATTAAGAATGATCTTATTTTTTGGATCATAATCAATAAAGATTTTTTTTTTTTTAATTTGAATTTGAATTCGAATCGTGCCTCGCTTAAATGTATAAACAATAATATTTGTTTTTGTTTTTAGGGGGGGTTATTATGGGGGTTTAATATTTTTCACGGGGGGTTGAGCCCCTAAGCCCCCTCTAAAACCACTAATACCACCCGCTTTACTCTCTTTTCTTTCCTCTATTCGAAGGGGCAGGGGGCAAGTCAGAGCTCCGTAAAAAATTGTATGTGCTACAGGCAATACTTTGATCAACATAATTATACTTACATTAATACATGTACCACCAATATAACCATTAATAGTTTCCAGACTTAGCACACGTTCAAAATAATGACCTCGAATATCCACAAATATTTTAAACACGGAGAAGATCCACTTTAGTTGTGCATTTTAGAATAATCACTGCCAAAGTGACAAAGGTGCTTCTGAATACATTTTGTTTGCCCTCTTGAAAAGAATACGTGCTGTCGGTACATCGATGATTACATAACGTTCATGACCACGAATCCAGTAGCTTTATTTGCAGGTGCGCAGATTCTATCTACATGTACGAACTAGTTCATTAAATTATAAGAAAAAAGAGATCGGTAAAATGTGAAAACAATACATCGATAAAACACTCTCACTCATGTACTGTAAATAAGACTTCAGTGCTTATTTGGTTACTTTATCGATGAGGGTATAGAGGAAAGGATTGATAGAGGAATTAATGGGCAGAACAAAGACCACCAACCAAGCGTAGATATTGGATGAGAGAGTGATGACACCAGCCTGGATGAAGATCCCCATGATAATGATAGGCATCCAGCAAAAGAAGTCGGTCCCGACGATGAAAAACATCTTGAGCGCCATCTTGATCTCAGTGGCCGACTTCGCACTCTTTCCTGCCGCCTTCCTGCTGAAGCGAACACTGAAGAAAATGGCGACGTAGCAGCAGATGATGACCAGGAAACTGACGAGGTTCACTCCAAGGTAGATGGCAATGGAGAACTGCCAGGTGGGGGACGTTCCAGAGGCAAGAAAGTTGAAGGTGGTGACACCGTAGCGAGTCAAAGTGTAGCTGTCCACCTCCGAGTATACCGAGGAGAACTTCCGGATGAGCGGAAGTCCCACGCAGACATCACTCAGGCCGTGTGCGTCAGATTCCAGCTGGTTTAAGAGGAGAGAGCCAACACTGAGAATAAATGCCAGAAGCCACGCAATCACCGCAAATACACGGGAGGACTTGACACCCAGACGATTCTGACTAAATGGGAACTGGATGACGATGAAGCGATCAACGCTGATCAAGGTCAACAAGAAAACCGATGCCTCGGTGCTGAGGAACGAGACAAACCCAGCGATTTGACAAGCATTGCTGGTTCGCCACTCGTTCCCGATGCCATCCCAAAAGTACGCTTCACCAATGTACAGATCCATGACAGCAATGATCAACATGTATATACCCATCAAGAAATCCGACACTGCCAGATTGCTGATCAAGGTGGATTGAACAGTACCAGTGGCTGTTGTCGGTTTATCCCGCAATCTTGTGAAGATGACAAACCCATTACCAAGCAAGGCACTGATGCTAAGGATCCAGATGAACACTTTGATAGTCATATTTTGGAGGAATGTCCTTCGACACGTGAAGAGCGGATGTGGCAGTTCTCGTGTTATACACCCGAAGCTTTCTGGAACGATGCAACAGACTCGTTCGTCTCGAACAACTCTGTAAAAGACAGACGAGATGACTATTACACTGAAGCTTTAATTTTCACTAAAATAGTTGCCAAATATGACCAATAGTCTCACTGCACATTTTACGAAAAGTGCTGTAACAGCAGACTGTAATAAGTGAATTATAAAGTCTCGCATCGACAATTTTAGTCACTGTAAATTAAAAATTAGTATGGTCTTATATTTGGCTTTCTGATCAATATTGCCTTTTACTCTGATGTGTGCAAGACGACAAAAGGCTTATCCCTCCATTTTACTACAAGTTGTTGAAAATCATATTTAATATTATTCTTCCATAATTATGTAAATGCCCGCTTATTTGTTAACAACATGATAAAAGAATGCAATTTTGCTTTGATCATGCTATCATAAGGATGGACACTGTCTTGTACACCCGTCGGACACGAGGCGTCATTTCTCTCGTGATATTACCTTCACCAATTAGAGCAGTGAAGGCAGTAATTGCAATAACTGCACCATTCATCCTGTCCTAACTGTTTGCTTGTGAAGAGGTGTCTAGGTCTAGTGGATAAGTCACCGTCTTGTGGATTGCATGGTTCACGGCTCGAGTCCCTCCGCGGTACTTAATAAATGTCCTTTGGCAAGAGATTAATCTACATTTGCCACCGTCAACCCAGTTGTTAAATGGGTACCCGATAGGATGCGAACGTTAATGTGGTTGGATTGGCATGTGTGCGCTTGTAAAATGATGCCTGGCCGGAATAATCCCCAGGGAGCGGAACGAGTGCTCTATCATGTTGCGGATTAGCAATTGAATACAATGACAGGGGTAGTAACAATTATAAAGTAAAGCGCTTAGAAACGTTTTTTTGATACTTTTTCTCATTATTACTATCATTGCTATTATCATTATTATTATTATCATTATTACCATTAGAATTATTAGCATTATTAAAGCAGTATTATTATTATCCTTATTAATATTTGTATTATCTTATTTTGAAAAAAATCATTATTGCTATCTTTATTATTATTATTATCATTATCATTATTATAATTATTATTAATAATATTATTATTATTATTATTATTATTATTATTATCATTATTATCTGTTAATAACTGGCACATGGATAATTAAATTTTCACCCAGTAACTGACGTGGTATTAATGTACAAGTCCACTCCGACAATAACTTACTTTCAATAGAAGCAGACAAATCAGACAAACCAGTCAAAAGAAGTTTGAGCAAAATTGGATAACTAATAAGAAAGTTATGAACTTTTTAAAAAAATATATATAAAACTATGGAACAAGTGAAATCACTACACAATTTGCCAATTTGGTTATCAGTTTGTGACGTAATGTCCTCACTATATATCAATTGCTTTATATAGTTTAATCCCATTAATTTCCCTTTTTAATCCCCCAAAACTTTATTTCCCCATGCCTTTGCCAGGTTATATGATTTTTATCATATTGCTTGCATGACATTTCACAAGATCTTCTATGAACTTTGAAGAATTGATACTATTTTCTGAATATTGTGTATTCATAATTATTGATTTTTTTTAATCAAAATTCACATTTTGCATGATTTAACTGAGAAAAAAATACCCTATATTAGTGCATCCACACAAAAACATATTACTATCAATCTAACTTGGATGCCGGTGGGAGGAAATACGATTCTTGGGGATATCCCTCTTTCCTCTCCCACACTGAGCGAAATATCGGTCGGCTCGATTTTCAATTTTCAAACACCCTCCTGGAAAAAATACTGCGTACGACACTGCGAGCGCATCATACTTCATTGAAGTCACGCGGATCGGAACAGGATAATACTGAAAGAATCGCACAAGAACATGTTGATGCTTACTTCAAAACATGTAAAATGAACTCGGGATTCTGATAGCTGTATGTCTATACTTACAATAACTCAATCTTAGAAGGGCCAACAAATGTATTTGGCTGAAGGCGAATTCTGTCAGAAGAAAGAAGTCGCCTGAAAATAGAGCAAGAAAAATATAATAAAGAGTTATTTCCGAGGGCTTATATTGAAGGGAACCATTCGTCACAAGTTTGCAGCTTGTTTAAATGATGATTTAATTAACATTCAGATACTATTTCGCTTCTTCAAAAGAATTCCCGTCCTTTCAAATAAAACGACAACCTGCATTTAAACGCTGTCATCACGTTACACATAACTAAGTGGAGGCAGCTCACATGCCTAAGATTTGTTTCTATAGCGTTGTTAATATTTTCATGGCTTTCAAATGAAGACGATGGATACCCCAGTGCACATTTGGTCATCGAGGCTAAAGACAACAAAAATGCTTTCCTATTTCAAAATATAATCCGTGACAGTGTATATAAGCTTACGATATGTTTCCCGGATTTCTCATAAATTTTCCAGCATGTGCTCTAACGTAACCTATCGACAACCATTTAGGCGGACTTGCCGACATCTTTAATAAGGTGTAACATGTCACATCATCCTCTCCGGCTAGCAATTTAATTATCATTATTATTTTTATCAGAACCTTGTGTTCATTTAGATGACCCCAAATACTCACACATCCCTCAACGTAGGCAAACCATTCAGAGCACCAGGTTCAATGGTAGTGATGGGATTTCCTTGGAACGACCTGGGGGGAAAAAAAGGTACAAGTGGTTAAAAAAAATTGTTGGTGATCCGACATTTGCCTCTGTGACAATTGCTCCATAATTTAGTTCTTCAAAAGTTTAGAGGTAAACGAAGAATATCAAGGAGTACATTCTTATTTAGCCAACTGAATGTCCCATCATCGAGCTCTCGAAGTCCAGAAGCACCGTGAAGGGATTTGTAGATAACAGACAAGCATCGATGACGTGATCCATAGTTTGGATCTTTCCACAGTCACAGTTTGACGATGGATTAGCTCCAATTTTATGCATTAAATCCAGTTCAGCGACTGAAGTTAGAAACTTGTTAATTGTAAGAAATTTAATGCGGAGAAATAATATTTTTCAATAGAAATTGTTATTAACCACAATGATTTGAAAATAAAAATCAGTGCGGATCGCTGAACAGTGAAGGATTAGGACAGACTGACCGCCAGACTGCTAGAGTGATTTCGCAGACCGTTTTAGTGGGAAAGAGCGAGAGAGAGAGAGAGAGAGATAAAGAGGGAGCAAAGCTCCTAAATATCTGGACCGCCACTCTTTACTTACGCGAAGTCAAGCTTATTGAGCCCGTAGAAAATAGATGCATTAATAGACGTCAAATGATTATGGGTGATAACCCTATATAAAATGAGATAAAAGATGCAAATGAAATCAATTATTTACTGATCTAAGACAAAGTTTGAAGAAATTTAAAGATAAATTGCTGATTGATCAACCCCAAAAGAAGGGGAAAAATCATTGATTTAACAAATTAACTACTGTGGAAACAGGCCTTCAGCATAATTAAATGGTATTAGTATCAAGAGGCTCCAACTTTACCTATAGAACTGTCGAACAGAGATTTCAGAGACAAAGGCAGAGGTTTCTTTTTTCGAAAATCAATTTAACTTTCATTAAGTGGTTGCATATTCAGTTATATTTCAAAAGCACCAAGCAACGCGCCTTGATAAATTATGTGCAAACCAAAACGACTATATTCAGAATTAGAATCACTGCATGTATGTGTTACAGTGGTACAGTATCTTGACTCCCGCGCAAGAGGCCCTGGGTTCGATTATAGTCTTGGACAAGGTGTTTTCTCAATATTTATCCCACCCGACCCTTGCCGGTGAAGTTGGAATTAATGCTGAGGTACTGATAATTGAAAGACCCTCAGGGATAGCAGGAGTAATACCTATGGTGCCATCTTGGATAATCAAGATCTTACTCTTTCTTAACAAGCTCATGATTAATTGGAAATAGTTGGTAAATCAATTCTTTCCTCTTCCTCTTATCATTCATGACATAAGAAGTTTACATTTTCTCAGAACTTTATTGATCAATCTGAAGAGTCATAACGATTGATCAATAAAGTTCTGAGAACATATAAACTTTATCCATCTCGAATAAACCATATTGTCACAATCATTTCATGGAAAAAAGATAAGAACAAATAAATGGCAACAACGTAGTAGTATGTTAACATTAATATAATCATACATGTCAAATAAAATATTAATGATCAAGCTTACAAACGTTCCAAAGTCTGCCCCACATCAAAAAATGCTCCGGATGGGATAGTTTTCAAATCATTGAATTCAAAATTTCTGAAAGAGAAATAATAATGTAATCATGGTAATACATTTGAGAACAGTTAATATATACAAAATGTAGCACATTAATAGTAATACCCGTTTTTTTTTAATAAAGTTGTACATATCATAAAGACGATTAGGATGATACAAACAGCATCATACATTCCATGAAGCAAAAGAAATAATGATAACAAAACATATAAAACATACACACAAACAATAACAGGGAAAATAAAAAATAAAGTTACTAATTTGTGGATTGGATAAGTATTGATCACTGTCAACTGCAGGTTAATCGGCAAATAATTGAAGTAATGAATTATGAATCTTATTCGAACAAAGAACAGAGCGATGAGATGATTTATATTCAACTTATCAATCATACTTCGCAAGCATTCTGTGAAAATATACTGGATTATGTAATTATGTTAATTTTATTAAGTGCATTGAAGGGCGTTCTATTTTGTGTGATGTACAAATTACTTTATTCTTCTAAATCTCGTTCACGGCATAGTGAAGACTGAAGACAAGCCAGAGGGTGCAATATATTTTACCGTGCATAAATACAATATCAATGAAATTAAGAAGGTACAGAATCCTGAAAGCCTACAAGTGCCTGTGTTGACTACGCCTTTTATTGTTGCCAGTTGAAAATATGGTTATCTGTTTAATTTTTTTACATGAATGATATATACCTGTCTCTAAAGTATCGGCCTACTTACATGATGAAAAGGCTCTGAAGACCTCTAAAGCAACCTTCGTACAATCGAGTAATCTGATTGAACGCCAAATTTCTACATGATGGTAAAAAAAGACAGTATACAAATTAGCTTTTCATTTATTGTAAAGTAGTTTTTTTCTTCTCGAAGAGAGTTCTGAGACACATCAACATTTATTACCAGTGTCACGATTTCGGTGTCTAAGTCCAGACATCTTTCTCAAACGTGTTCTGGCAGACTGAAGCTGGATGATAGTTATTTTTGTGCCGCTGTGTCGATCGCCACGTCGCGTCAGTCTGTCAGTGCATGTCTGATAAAGGTGTCATGGCTTGGTCATAACAAATGTCACACAGGTAATTAAATTTCGATGTGTCATGGAATTTTTTTTAATATTATCTTAAATCCCGTCTGCACTAGTTTTGCCAGGAGGGATTAGACCAACTTGCTAGTGACTGACAGGTGGTTATCTTATCAACTCAGCTCTCAATTAACTAAGAAAAAGAGGATTATGGGGACCAACAGGCATCGCTCAGGCATTGTTTTCTATATAGAGGGAACAAGTAGCTACAAGTAGTACAGTGGGGCTTTAACCATAATATACTGATGAAATTATTCAGCAGCATAAATTTATTATTCTCAATGTGCGAATCGTTATGATTACCTGGAACGATTCATTATTTTTCTGAAATACAATCACTTTTTTGTCTGAATATCTCGTGACACTTTCGCCCACTGTCGTTCCAGGGCAGGCTTTTATTAACAAACGTGACAAAATGAATATAATATTCTGTAGACTTACAATCCGCCTAAATTACGAAGACCTTCGAATGTTCCATTTTCAAGAACAGTCAGGCTATTGTGATCAAGCGCCCTGTAATATAAGAAAACATAAAATTAAAAGATCCACTTATAGCAAAGTAAAGGGAACGCTTTACAGTCAAATTCAGAATTATGAATGAGGCCTTGAATTGCTGATTGTCGTGTCATTATATACTATCACTCAAAGCTCGGTATTTCTATCTAATTACTGAGAATCAGCAGTTTGACACCAATATCTATATATATGTATATTTATATCACACGATGTTAATGGACATTAATTGCGTAGCTACGGCGGAAAGGTGAAGGGGGCAAAGAGAAGATAAGGGGGAGAAAAGGTAAAGGGTAGGATCAAGGGCGTAAATCCGAGCTTGAGCATGGGGAGAGGGGGAGACACAATTACACAGGGGCGGATCAGCCATGCCTGTGAATAAACGGGGGGAGGGGGTGTCCCCCTTGTCCCCCGGATTGACGCCCTTGGGTAGGATGAGGGATGGGACAAGAAAATTGATATGATCCCGCACCCTTCCTGAGGCCAAATTGATATCCTTCTTATTTCGGACGTTATTCACCGAACAAGGGCGCCTTCCCACTGGATCTAGTGCCCGACTTGGCCGGAAGGCCACTATTGAATATAGCTGAAGAGGTAAAAGTTGTATTAAAGCAAACTCACAGTTCCCATAACCGACAAAGTCCGATAAAGACGCCTGCTGGAAGATGGCTGAGCTGAGTGGAGCTTAGATCCCTATAAAGACAAACCAAATCAGGTTCAGTATAATTTAGCGACTAGCTTTACATAGTCCTTTTTAATTAAAAGTAAACAGCATGATATGATAGTATAATAACATGATAATAATAATTACAATAATAATAATAGTAGTAATAATAATAATAATAATAATAATAATAATAATAATAATAATAATAATACAAATAATAATAATAATACAAACAATACAAAATGATAATAATTTTGTTTACACAGAAAAGCCCCATCACATATTGCTCCGGTTGTCACATTTCGCTCGCTGGACGTATATAGCAGACGACAATCGGCGGATTAGACGACACTTGGTAGTGAATTTGTATGTGAGATTACTTTGCTAAATATAAAATACAAGAACATTTTCCATATCTTTAAACTATCATTGATATCTGATAATTAAACAGTTATTAAAATAAACCTACCAAACTACATAATACAATGAAATACTTGACTTAAAGTAGAGGAGTTTGATGTGGTGCACGATTGCACCCCTCTGTAAATAATCGAATAGTCCATGGCGATCATGAGTATTCATGTTTTTGCTTACCTCTGCAAAATTTTTGCTTATCTTCAATGGACAAATTACGGTGGGGGGGTGGCTGAAATGGACATAATGAACCGATCAGAACTGATCTATTATGATTCAATGCTCAAGTACCCTTAACAGCTCATTTTATATATGTTATTACCAAAGAAGAAAAAAGCCAGTCAGTCACTCAATAGTGTCTGACAGTGAAGTCTAGCAAGGAAACGGGTTTCCTTGCATACTTTGAATATTATGACACTGCTAACGTTTCAATTTTACAGATAGGACATACATGACATATTCATTTTCCTGCAAAGTTCTACAGAGTTTGATATTGGCTGCAATAGTTGTATTATATTCAATTCAAATTGTATTGATTGAAATCCAAACAAATAGGATGATAAGAGTAGAGGGAAACCCCAGTCCACCTGGACACCCCAAATCACTTATGCCGGTGGGTGAGACCCGAGGGTTACAGTGATTCAGTTCGCTTTTCACCTCCAAGGCACAGGTGACGCCAAATACTTTCTTCAATTCAATTCAAAAACAACTCTCATTTATTTCATTCTCGCTTAAAACATACATTGATACAAAAGATACAAAATAATTCTTAAACAATTTTATAAACAAAGTGTCAAGCAAATTAGTGGAAATTGACTGCTTATGGAAGAAAGCAATGTAATTTGTTTTCTAGGATTTATCAACAATCTATTTGATTTGAACCATTTTGTTACTTTGGCTATTTAAGTATTGATATTATTTTGTAAAGCTATGGTCACAACTCAGAGTGGCGACCGACCGATTTCTAGCCTGCTCGGTCGCCGCTGGAATTTAGGCATCGCCCCACGAAATTTGGAGAAGAAGTCGAGCAGGCTGTAGAGCCCCAGCGATGCCTGGGCGGTGCCCTGTCGATATCCCGTCGGTCGCCGGTCGATTTTAGGTTGAAACTGAGCGAATTTGGGGAGCTTCTCTGCGGTGGCCGACTAATGACCCATCGATTACCGGGCGGGCTCTTGGAGAATTCGAGCAGGCTGTATAGAGCCTGCTCGAAATTGGGGAGCTTCTCCGCCCGGATAAAACCAGTTAGATGCTCCTAAGAAGATGTATCGTTAGGATAAACTGATCATTCATGTGGTTATCCGTCTGCAACAGCTTATAAAATATTGATTGAATTCAGTTGCTATATGTTGTGGATCATTATCCTTTTTAGTTCCATTAAAAAAGTACTCAGGTAACAAAATTTATGCTTATTTAGTAATGAGTTTATAACTGACCAAGTCAGTTCAGTATTATTTTTATATGCCTTTAATCTGTTAAAAGAATATTATTTTTCGCATGCTTTAACAGATTATTCAATTTATTTCTATATTTGTTGTATTTTCTTTTATTATCCACTGTATTGTTTTGGAGAAAGTGTTTATAATAACGTTTTTTCTTCTTTATACATCTCAATTAATACTTTGTTATCAAAGGTTTTTTCATGTCTCTTTTTATTATGTTTAGTTTTTGACAAAGGACAATTTTAGTCAAACAATTTAGTAAAACGGTTAATAACAAAGGAATATGCGTCATTAGCATTCCCATATTATGAAGATTAGTCCACTCTTCATGATAAAGATCATATTGAAAATTTCTTATATTATCATCTGAGTATTTACGAGTAAAGCGAATTGAGCTACGTTGATAAGTATTTTATTAGAGCTTTTAGAGACTAGAAAAATGGGTAAGTGGTCACTAAAACCTGAACACTAACTACCTGAGTCAAAATCTGAGTCAAAGATATTGGTGAATACATTAAAGGGTAGCACTGCTTGGTGTAATACGAGTTTTTTTTTTTAATAATCTGGAATATACCAAGTTCAGATTCTAATAATTATAATAATACATGTAATAATAACAATAATGATAACAAACAAACGAACAAACTTACAGTGTATGGGCATTGTTGAGTCCTGAGAAAGCGCCCTTCATCAGATGACGGACGGGGGCGCCATCAAGATTTCTGCAATAAATATATGATGATAATAACAATAATATTAATAATTAATAACAATAATTATTATTAAACGTTCAAGAGGAGGGACGGTCAAACTCGGTCAAAATAATGTTTGAGTGATGAGGAAAGAAGTGAGATAATTTTTGTCATCTACAGGAGATTTTTAAAAAACATTTCATACAGACATATCGAAGAACATATAAAAATAAGAAATTGTTTTCTTAAAGGTATTACAAAGTTTTGGTATTGGGTCATGAATTTGGTACAAATTAACATATTAGAAGAATATGCATTCCTATAATAGTCATTGATCGTTGTCGCGGTTGAAATCGAGTCTAAAGTTATGAAATTATAAATAATAAACTCTTTAATGTCTTTAAGTTGTATAGCTCCCTCTCAAGATCAAGATATTAATTTAGCTATGAAACAATGTTTCTTGACTAAAATCGACCGATTAGCTATTCCCGTTTGGAAATTATATATCACAACTACATATTCTGAGATTTTCATGGTCGCAGCTACCATTGTACGACCATAGGCGCTATTTGAAAAATTATCAAAATTTACCGGGAGCACCGGTAAATTTTGATATTCAATTTTTCTCGAAAACAGAAGTGTTTTAGGGGCTAATTTTTTTTAGTGATTATAATACATTCACAGGGGCATCAAAATATATCAAAGTTGTAAAGATTCACTATCCACCCAATTTTCAAAATTTCCCAAAACTTTGTATTACCTTTAATCTTTACCAGCATTCTATGACTGTTTAATTGGTGTTTACGTTGCGATGCCTGTCCCCTCTTCTTCATTTCTTGTTACTTCTCTCCCTCTCCCTCTTTATTTCTTTTTCTTTTCTCGCTCACTTTCTCTGCGTCTGTCTGTCTCTCTGTGTCTGTATGTCTCTCTCTCTAACACACCACTACAGGGAAATGGCGTCAACCGTGGACCAAGTTTAGTACTTGTGTGTGTGTGCGTAGGTAATCACCAGCAACCGCGGACCACTCCATAGAAAACTACATCAAACCGCGGACGTACCTCCTATGGAATGATCCAGTTAGCGAGCGCCTCTCCCGCGCAGTCAAAAGGGGGCGCTGTGACATTTCGCGATACACATCGGACTGATCCAGTCGATGTGCCCTACACGCTGTGACATCTAATATTCAAACACCCCCTACGTCGTAAATTTGATAGGGCGGAACCGGTATCGCAACCGTGGACGGTCCCCCATTGCAGGTACGTCCGCGGTTTGAGGTAGTTTTCTATGGAGTGGTCCGCGGTTGCTGGCGTTTTCCTACGCACACACACACGCGCGAGCACACAAACACACACACACACACACGTGCGCGCGCATCCACCCACACACATACACGCACACACTATCTCTCTCTCTGTCTCTTCCCCCTCCATATATGATTGTTTATCCCTACAATTCCTTCAATCCAACGATCACAAAGACTTCCGAAAAGTCACTCAAAGTCAACTTTAATAGCCTCATCTATCACCTTGAAATGTGCCAATGACATATATTACTCGATCCGACCTTGGTTTCTGAAGGCAATACAGGAGGGTAATCAAATTGCCCTTAATTTTATTTCTTGAAAAGTCTTTGCCATCGTTTTATTCTACTTCATTTACATAATTATAGCCTTTGGCGCTGTTGCATTCGCGTAGTCTTCATTCCATCCGTCCGTGCATTTCACCCAAAAAGGCAACCAGTCGGGATCGCCGCAGCGAGGTGCAGTAAGTGGAGGGCCGATCCCGACGTACTGCTGAGACTCGCCGCAAGAACAATTAGCCGGGCAACGCAGTATCTCTGTATATAGATAAATATTGAGTGGTACTACAAAAATGGAGAATAGCAGAGATTACAGAAAAGAATACAAAACAGGTATTATTTATTTTATTATTGTTGACTTACAGCGTACAGCCATATAATGACCCCCCCCCCCCCCCCAAACAAAAACACACACAAAAAAAAAATGTTTACCGTGAAAATTCATGACTTCTTCGAACCCCCACTTTAGAACAAAAATGAAAGAGTCAGTTTCCCACATTCTTTTTATTAGGTTAAATCGTCATATTTCAATATAGGAAAATATGCATTTGTATAACTTTCTTTGGTATAGAAATATAGACCCTGGAACGGGTTTAACATTTAGCAAAATGCAGGCCATTGTGTATTAACATCTTACCACCCCGCCCCCCCCCCCCTCCCCCCCCCCCCACTCAGTGTTATTTAGGGTACGCATATGCTCGTTCCCTTTTTTTTTTAAAGCACCCCCTATCTGAGGACTGCCAACATTTCCGAACCCCCCTTTCGCGGGCTTTTCGCGGGCTTTTCCTGCCTTTAAGACCCCCCCCCCCTCCCCCTAAATCAGGGAAAATGCTCAATATACTCCCCTAAATTCGGAATAATTTCTCAGGAGTCCAAAGAGATGAGAGAAAAAACGAAAAAACACCCCCTTTTTAAAGAAATCTCCGGGTGAAAAGTCTAATACACCCCTTTTTTTACAATTCTCGGGCCGGACTTTGTCGCACGAAAAGTACCCCTTTACCGGACATTTTGGCAACCCGCATGCGGTCATTCCGATCTCTGAGTTGGGGGCCGGGCTTACCACAAAACATTTCATCGTCTTCGTATGGGCAATCAATCCTTCCATCGCATTGCAATCTGGGAAGGAGGCAAATATCACTTCCGTTGCATTGGTATGCGCCGGGACTGCATTCTGGGTATTATTACAGAGAAAGAGGAAAAAAACAGAAGCGTGGTGAAATTAGGATCACTAAGTCACGGTAGGATTCATGTTGGTATTTGTTTAATCCTGCAAATCCAAGAAGTTTAAGTTCCCCCACCCCCTGATTTGTCGAATTCCCATTCATTCAAAATTGCCTTTAATACAACTCTGAATAGGCCTATTTTAATTTATTTCTCTTCTTTATTTTGTCCATCCTTCACTAATCATTTTCTTGCACAAATTGATTTTTTGCACAGTTTATAAAAGGGTTAACAAAATATCCACGCATAATAGTCCTGTTTAAAGGCGAACTTTTCCATCCTTCACATCATTTATGTTTTCAAAATTGTTACAAATTTTTAATCTAGTGAAAACAAATTATGACCTGACAGAAATTTCATTTTCAATGGGTATATCAAGAATCTATTTCTGATCATGACTTGTGTTCAAACTCATTATGTATGCATGATGCCGAAACATAAGCACAAGAACTAAATAGATATAGAACAAATATCATTAAAATACACGCTATTATTTAACTGTTGTTTGACAACTATATTTCTCGAACAATATCCCTTCTTTATTTTAGAAAGAGTTTTTCATATATACCGTCACATCCAATTTCATCTGAGAAGTCAGGGCAGTCAACAATCCCATCACATCTTGCACTGACCCGGATGTATTGATGACCAGAGTGACAGTAGAAATCCTCCCCCGTTGTGTCAACCATTGGTGTTTCTATAGACATAACCAAGCACGAACGGAAATACTAGTACATGTAGATAATACATTGATCATGTCTTTTTGTGCAGGCGCGATGGCTTAGTGGTTAAGCAATGGTCTCGTAACCGGGATGTCTCGGGTCCGAAACTAAGTCGATATGCTAGTGCCCTTTGAAAAGGCGTTAATCCTCATTATCAAGTCACTTGGAGAGATTTCAAAGCCGTTGGTCCCTGGTTGCTTATTTACGAGCAAACACATGTTTTATCAACGGTCAGGTCAAACAAACCATAAACCCGTGTGTATAAGTGAGAAATTAATTTATTCGTGCTCAGCAGTGGTGAACCGGGCCGGTGGGGGGGGGATAAGTACTTCGTACCCGTAATTGAACGGAAAGAAAAGAGAAGGAAACAGGAAAACGGGGAAAGGGGAAGGACAGATGAAAAGTAGACACTCTTTAGCTCTTTCCTAATCAAAGGTCAGGTTAATCGTGGTCCTCGTTCCTCAATATATGGACCCAACACTTAACCGATGGCGTTCAGCTCAACCCCATTAGTTTTTATTTATTCATGATTTTTCATGACTTTTTTGGATTATCACTTTAAAAAAATACTTTATGTTTAAAAATGTTTATTTTTATTTTTTGTCCCACCCATTGAGGGGGCACTAGTTAAATGGGGAGGGGGGGGGCAGCGCCACCATTCTTACTTCATGAATGACATACGATATAAAAAGGTAATCGATTGAGGTAAGGTATGGAAGTAGGTCGTAAAATATCTTGTTCATGTCAATTCCCCTTCCCTTACTTTCTCTATTTTTGTCTATTGATGAAAGGGAACTGGCCTAGTGCCCCTGTAGCTATACAACTGGCTACAAGGTTTTATTTCCGGTAGGTATTTAGTCATTCAAAAGACATGCACCCGTGCTCTTACCATTTGTATCTATATCGTATGACGTAAACTCCATGACAAAGCCCCGGCGCTGCTCGGTGACGTCACTACAGAAGCTGACCACCGTAGATCCTCCCGGTAGGATAAGTGACGTCACAGAACTACTAGCCAATGAGAGGTTCGTAGCAGTCACCCCATCAGTTGACACGTGATGAATATGCACCGTATCCCAGATATGTTCAATATCTAGTATTTTGACGTCAATCACTACCTGCGCATAAATTAAAATCACGTGCTTGTTTAAATCATTCATTTCGCCAAGTCTAATCTTTAGACATTTTAAAGTGATATTATATATGTACTAGATTTACAAATCAAGCGATTGTATAGATGATATGCCCATCATTATACATCATGACCATTACTAATAACTGCTGCACGCATGGGCGCGCGTATGAGCGGGGGGGGGGGCGTTGGGGAGATGCCTTTAGCCTGCACATCATTCCGCCCTTCTATCATTCGATATGTCACACAAAATTTCCCAGAAAATATGATAATTACTGTACAGACCTAATCGCTGCCGATTAGAGCACGCAGGTTGCAGGAATAATAAGAGTTTCGAAATTGGGGGATGGGGATGCTGCAGCCCTCATCCCCTGCTACTTACGACTATGGTTTCACAACAGGCAAAGCTGATTTGCGCAATGATGAATTTGTTCTTAAAGCTATACGTGACCAGATTTTCGAAAAGTAAGGTAAATGACATAATGATTGTGTAAACTTCAGGTGGTGGTTAGTACACCCCAAAATACATGTAAAGGATTAGCTGTAGGGAACGTTTTGAAGCTCTTCCTCTTAAACTCATCGAAATGAAGAGCTCAAGAGTGATCAGCAATACAATATATGCTTCGGGCATGTAGATACGACTTATCTTATAACAATGAGAAACTTAGTCTCTCATAACTACTTTGTGTTCAATGTATTTTCAGATACTCCACTCCAAAACAAAGGATTACTTATCTCGTGGAGGGCCGTCTCTATTCAAAATTTAGATTTGGTTTGATTTATTTATTCTCCGAATTCACAATAAAAACCTGATATATTATTTATACAGAATATTTACGACATAATATAAATAAACGTTTAAACTAACATAATATACGATGTAAAAACAAAAGAAGAAGACAATAATGAAGTAGGAAGGTCACCCAGTTCATTCCAGCCAAAAATACAAGACTGTTCTTTCATTGTGTCCAATATCATTTGAGTAGTTAGAGTTCTTAGGGGGTGCACATTTGAAATTATGCGAGCCAAATATTGGTACATAATGGTGACACCGGAAGTGGCAAAAACTTTTTTTTTGGGGGGGGGGTAGACAAAAAAAATCCCCATCACCCCACTCTTACATGCAGGCCCCGCTGAACGTTTGTCGGCGGGGGGTCAAGTGATGGAGCCCCCAGAAGCTCAGGGGTATGGGCATTTAATTACTGTCAGATGAGCATATTTTGATACCTTATTAATTTGTGACACTGGCAGGACACAAATTGGTGTTGGGTCCAGGCGGCGGAGCCTCCATAAGCTCAGGGGTTTTATACATTTAATTATCGTCAGATGAGCATATATTTTGATACCTTATTTGTGGCACTGGCAGGTCCAGGGGAAGGAGCCCCCGAAAGCTCAGGGGTTTTGGTAAATAAATTACGGTATAGATGAGCATATTTTGATACCTTATTTGTGACACTGGCAGGAAGCAAATTGGTGTTGGGTGCAGGGGGCGGAGCCCCCAGAAGCTCAGGGGTTTTATACATTAAATTGTCGTCAGATGAGCATCCAGCCGTCCGCCTTAGGGCCCTAGATGGGGTCTAGGGGGCAGAGCCACCGGAAGTCAAGTGGTTTTAGGCATTTAATTACGGTCAGATGAGCATCAGGGTGCCTGACTTTGGGCCCTAGGTCAAATCCAGGGGGCTAAGCTCAGGGCATTTAATCAGATGAGCAATTTTTTTTTTTTTTTATGGCCCCTGAAATTGGGAAATTACGTCGTCAGATATTTCGTTAAGTGGCTTTGGAGGGTGGAAGGAACACTTTTTGTTATTGCTTTATTTAGCGCAAAAAAAAAATCAAAAAAATCTTTCCCCCTTTTTTTTTGCCAGGGGGAGTGGGGCGGGCCCCCGGACCCTCCTGGTTCCGCCACTGTTCTATTAAGTACATAATTTAACACGGACTCTATAGTTGGGAACGTTTCTGTGTGAGAGATAAATTACTGTTTTATCAGCATATAAGTGAACAGAGCATTTCTTTATATGTTTTACAATATCACTAATATAAATTATAAACATCGGGTCCAATATAGATCCTTGGGGAACCCCGTAATCTATATTCGATTCTGATGATGTAGCTGAGCTAAATTGGGTACATATACGACGACCTTTTAAGTAACTAGAAAACCATGATAAACAATCAGGTGATACACCACTCATAGATAGCAAAGAATATCAGGATCAACGGTGTCAAACGCCTTAAGCAAGTCTATAAGACCGCGCCAGTGTACAGACCGTGGTCGATAGCAGTCAGCCAATCATCGGTAACTTGTAACAGGGTGGTAATAGTCGAATGATTTTTTTTTCTAAAACCTGATTGAGTTTCGGACAAAATATTATTCCATCTCAAATAATCAGCTAATTGTATTTGAACGAGTGTCTCTAGGATGTTGGATACAGATGGTAGAATAGTGTGAGCCAGTGCTAATACGTAATGCTTTTTTCTGCAAAGGAAGAATCTGATTAGTCTTGTATTTTGTAGAATTTGCCCCAAATCATATTGCAAAAATAATTTGTGGGGCAGGATTAACGCATTATACAGCATTACGAGTGTATAATTTGGTAAAACAAACGGCTACAATCCAACTTTGCTTTAATGTTAGGCATTAAGCCTTGTCAAGTAATCTTTGTCAAATCTTCTTAAAGCCGAAACTTCGTTTATTTTGTATTACATTTACTTTGTCGCTAATGTCGTTTGATAAATCAGTATTATCTCCTTACTTAACCCTTGTTCTTGGAATAGTATCAAAGTCTCCTCTTGTTAAGCCTATCCCCGGCGTTTGTCAAGAAAAGAAGGTTGTCCAGCCGTCAATTCATTTATATGTGCTGTGAGAGCATGAATATTAATTGCAGGATAAGCTTTGCGCCTTCTGTGATGTTAGGGAGTTGATTTTTACGACAGGAAGGGAACGAGGTGTTATCA